CTCGCCATGTGGATCTCCTCCAGGGCAGGCGGGGATCGAACTCATGCGGAAGTGGCTTAAGCTTCTTTGTGCTGTGCTTTAACCCACTGCGTCACCAGGGAGGACCCCTATTTTATATCTTATTGAAAAAATTCAAAATCATTTTTTGAGACAACAAAGATTTAGTGGATTTCTACTTAATACATTCCTTCTCATTAATGACCCTTTTGGGGGGATTTATGAGAGCTTTTTGATTAAAAAGTCCCAACTATTAATTTTTCTGCTAATTTTAACTCTGTAGGTGATGTGCTATTTTAGTGATAAATGATTGTTTTGCTAAAGGTCAATCTACTACTTTATCAACGTTCACATTATAACAAAATATTTAAATGTGAATATTTGGCCTGTAGCTGCTTTTTAAAATAAATTAACATCATCTATTATTTTGTGTTCAGGTATGAGACAAATAATTGTGCATTTTGCTTGAGAACTTGTCATGTCTCAGAGGCGGTTTTGGCATCTTGCACACGCTGCCTCGTTTAATTCTCACAAATGCCTTCTGAGGGTCTGCGAGGCTTTAGAAACTAAGGCTCAGAAAGGAGGGTTCAAGTTACTTGTCCAGTGTGTCCTTGAAGATTAGTCACGGAGCTATTTGTGCCCTCAGATACAAGCTATACAAACCTAGGGTAGCCACAGACCTAGCGCTCTGACCAGTGCCCCTCTTTAAAGGAAGGCCGAGATGTTGTCCCAGAGTTGTGTCACCAGGATTAATGGAGCAGTGTTTGTAAAATGGTTCTGCCCTCAGCACTTGCTCACACAGCAGACACTCAGCATATCTATGTTTATAGTAGTAAGTTAACCTGCAACGTGTTCTCCAAGCATGTTATTGTTGAATTTTGAGAATGATTGATTTGATCGATACTGATGGAGTCTGTCTAGGGGATACACAGGTGACTAAGGAACACAGAAACTGGGACAACAAAACCGTTTAAAGGGCACACTGACATGGTATAAAGGGGATACTGACAGGGTATACTTCAGAAAACATTAAGCAGAGACAGTGTTTGCACAGAGGCACAGCTGGTGGGCTGTGAGCTCAGGCATGGTGGGAAGGATTCTAAAACTGGCTTTGAAGCATTGATAGCAATTTCTCACTGCCGCACCCTGGGGAGGGCCTTCTAGGAAGCAGAGTAGAACAGGTAGAGTGAGAAACATGAGATGGTATGGCCAGGAGCAAAATCTCTGCAGGATAGGTAAGAAGAGGATTCTGGGGGCCAGGACCACTGGGGGCCGCGTCATGGGATCTTACATGCCAGGCTGATGCGTTTGCCTGGAGAGTTTCTCCAGCTGGAAAATGATACATCTCTCGGGTCTTAAGGAAAAAATGCACCTGCTGGCATGGTATTAACAAGAAATGCAGGAATTACCCTAAAGATTTTCAAATGCATCTCCATGGAGTGTGGTAATTCTTGTTCCCAGAGCTAACAAAATGAAGTTAATACATATTTTATTCTTTTTTTTTTTTTTTTTTTGGAAAGAGAAAAGAATTGTGAATCATTTCCCCACTTGCATTTCAACAAAAGCATTAATTGTTTTCCTGAGTCCATGCTCTCTATGGGCCGCTTTGTAACTTTGGGCTTCTGTGGGCACTCATGCCAAAGGCATGAAGGAAGAGCACACAGTTGACAATTTTTGAGTTCAGTGTCTGCTGAAATTTCTGTCCAAATCAGCAGTTTATGCTTTTATTTCATAATAAACAATTATTATAACAGTTTGAACATAAATTTATAACTTGCTTTTATTTTTAGGGATCACATAAAATATAGATTATATTTACCTAGTTTGGAGACAACAATTTTGTCTGACTCAAATAGGTCTTACTGAAATAATTGATAATTTTAGTTTCTTTCATACATACATTTTCGGAATACTAAATAAATTGTGATTTTAAGATACTGGAAAATTTAAATAAAAACTTTTTTTTTTTGGAAATGAATAAGCTGCCATAGTGTTTTAGGTCTTTCCCAAACTATTATTTAATGTTAAGGACTCTTCCTTGCAGAAGGCAAGTTACCTTTTTGATATTAGAAGTCTTAAATAGTTAATACTATTGCTTCATTTATTTTTAATCTGAAGGCTATTTTCTGTTTTGATTGATGCTTAAAAAATGAAAAAATGAAAACCTGTGATTTTCACTTTTTTTAAAACATTGAAACATTTTTCAAATATTGTGGATGATTCAATATACAAGCACTTATTTTTTTATTTTACATAGTACATCATTTTTACATGTAAAAATTCAGTTTTACATAGTCTTTATCATTTTACATAGTCTTTATTGTGATCAAAAAGACAAAGTTGTAACCATAAATATGTCAGTTCTTAAAAAGGCTGATAATGTAATTCATTAAAAATGGCTTTCTATTTTTAAACCAACAGTTAATGACTGCAGTTATAAAAATAATGATCCTACGACAAGCTCTAAATAGCTTTTGAGCCCTTTCTTAAAAATACGTATCTGTCATATGAGATCTAATCATAGTCTTATCTTCTGACAGATGGTTTATATACTTATAAATATTATTCTTATCACATTTAAGGAATCTAATTAAAGCTGTTCCACTTTTATATTCATATGAGTATTTGTTTTCTTAAATCCTTTAAAATTTGTACTGTGTTTTTCATACATCTCTTTTAAAACTTGGTGCTATATTTAAGTAGGTTTTTTAACCAGATTTCCATTTTTTTCCTTGTCTTTCTTAGTTTGTAAAAATGTCCAGTTCTCAGAATCTTGCCTAGTTCTTATTCTTTCTTTCCTGTGAGTAAGTACAGTAACAGTTGCCACCTGATGTGAATAATCTTTCATATAATGACGCTTTTCTATCTCTGTGTGGTACTCAGGGAGAATTATGTGTTTTTTCCTTAATATTTTAGATAAAGACATTTTTCATTTTTTTTTTAAAGTTAAGTCCATTATGGTGTTCTGTGGCATCTAACTTCTTAAAAAAAAATCTTCTATTTTAAATTTCTATGTCATCCATCAGAAGAGAACATAACAATCTTCAGTAACAGTGTTTTTTAATTTAATGTAATATAATTTGATGAAGGAAGCATTGTTCTTATCAAATAATCTTTGGCATTACTATTGCCACATTTCAAACATGTATTACAATAATTACATAATTCTTTTGTGGATAGTGAATCAGGATGCCAAAGTAAATATATAAACCATTGGTCTAGTTGGATGATTTTTCTCAACTTATCTCAAGGGTGTGCTCTTTTAGGTTGAAAGGAGAAAGCAAGCAGATGATGGAATATAGAAAGAGACTAGATGAAATCATTTGTTGGTTAACGAAGGCTGAGAATGCTGTACAGAAGACATCAACCACTGAGCTGCAGAAAAACCTGCAAGAATTAACAGTAAGTGGTTTAGCTGTCTCTGCATTTGTCAATGCTTTTCCACTCATGATTGTTTACTCTCTAAATAACACATTGCATGACTGAAGGAGACAAAGGAAAGAAACTCGTACTTTGTGGTAATTGTGGCAAACTTGAAAGAGGAACTTTTTTTTACAAGCAGCTGTAATTTTGGTCTTGTAGAAGTAAGGCTTCACATACGAGTGTGATAAATCATTGTCTAAATATTAAATATAGACTTTTAGTCTATTTTAAACAGATTTTACCATTTTAGAATATATTCTGTGGTTTTTTTTTTTTTTTTTGCTCTTAGATTTGGAAAATAACTGCTCATTAATAAATTTAGGTTTTATAAGAAATTCTGAGTGATTTGCCTAGTAACTCATTGCAACTTATTATGGGTTTAGCCTCATGGATACATGAATTAGTTATTCTCTACACCCAGCAAGAATTATTTATGATTGTATTTTTATACAATATATAAAAATACAAAGGCATCTTTCTATTTGTTGATATATCCAAGTGTCCATATTGAATTAAATATTCTTGTTGCTGAACAATAATACTATCTTCAAAGTATATTGAAAATTGTGAGTGTGTATATACACATGTGTATGCATAAAAGAACACCTATAAGAAAGCCCTTTAAATTGATGAGATTTTATCTAAAGGCGCATAAATAAAATACTTGGGAAAAAAGACTTTTCATAAGAGCAGAAAATAGTATGTGGCAAACAGCCATTCAGTGTTTTATTCCAAATGAGACAATGAAATGTTTATCTAAACATCACATGGTTTAGTCCCTTTTGCAAGCAATCTGGGGTAATACTGCAGTGGGACCTTGGGCTTGGGCAGGAAGGCAAGTAGAGATAAGACCACAAACGTTCCTGTTGTTTGTTTCCTCTTAATTGAGGTAACTGGTTTAAACACGTCATAGGTTTCAGGTGTACAGATTTTTGTATCAACATCTGTGCGTGACTCATCCTTGTTGCCAAAACTCTAGTTTCCATCTAAGCGCTATATAATGGACCCTTTTTACCCAATTTTTGTTTAGAAGAACTGGGGTGTAGGCCAGAAGTGTGCTGTGGGCAGGTGGTAAGAGACAGAGTGGGGAGCAGAACAGGTGGATCTACTGAAATGCACTGCTGAGGGGAGCAGCGGGTGACATGGTCTGCTGTGCCATGTGGGTCAGCTCCTGGGCCGCGGATGGAACTTGGGCTGTCGAGGTGAGAGCACTGACACTGAATCCCTAGGCCACCAGGGAGGCCCCTACTACTATTTCTTTCTTTGCCTTGCATTAGTACAGACATCCTTTTCATTATGTTAGCAATAGAAATATAATATGGTCCTACTCAGAGGTTGGCGAGCACCAGGGTGGGAGCACACACAGAGCGTGAGCTCACGTGCACACAAGACCTGCAGAAGTGTGTTCATTCCCTTACGCATTAGTTACAGTTTGTTCACGTCAGTACAGACCTTTTATGTTTATTTCCATCACAGTAAATAAAAGTGCCTATTTATGAGAATATTTTCCCAAATTATATTGCTCTCTCTTAAAAGATTAAACACGATGTTCTATTAGTTTCAGGTGTTCATATAGTCATTGGGTATTTGTACCAATTGCATAGTGATCACTACAAGGAAGTCTAGTTAATATCCAGCACCATTTTGACAATTTTTTTCCCCTTGTGATAAAGAAGAAAATATTTATTACAGTTCTTTCTAGTATAGTTCTGGAGACTTCTCCAGTGTGACAGCCTTCTAACCACACGTCTCTTCTGACTTCTTTAGGAGTTAACTCGAGAAATGGATGTGCAAGATGAAAAGCTCAAATGGTTGAATAGAACCGAGTTGGAAATGCTTTCTGATAAAAGTCTGAGTTTACATGAAAGAGAGAAAATTTCAGAAAGCTTAAAAACTGTAAATCTGACATGGAATAAGGTATGCATTAACAGTTACTGTGACAAATTTTTTTATGTTTATTGAACTTTGCAATCAAAGAAGTAGGATCATTTAACAGTTTTAAGTATTTTCAAATACAATCACATTTTAATGATTACTTGTGTAACCATTTGTTTTCCTGTCATGGATAGAAGTATATATTTTCAAGAATGTTTTAATTTACATTGACATTCTTGGTCTAAGGTATTTATACAATATATTCTGTATAATATCAATACTAGAATTAGACAATGAACTATCAGTAATTATACAATAAATGAATTTTCACATCTGTACATTTATTTTTAACTATTATATTTTATTCATTTGATATATATTTACTAGGTTTTAGGTAGAATGTAATGGGGAGGGGTAGGCTAGAGGTGCGGGGGGCGGGGTGAGAGGCTTCACCAGAGACAGAGTGGGGAGCAGAACAGGCGGACTGATGAAGTACACTGCTGAGGGGAGCAGCGGGCGGGTCAGGAGAGGTCTGCCAAGCCATGTGGGTCACCTCCCCGCAGGGGTGGAACTCAGGCTGTTGAGGTGAGAGCACTGAGACTTAACTCCTAGGCCACCAGGGAAGCTCTCCTCTTAATCCATTAAAACGGAAGCCATCACTCTCTGTCCAGTAATTAGGGTGCTTTCTTGTTGTGGCCTCTCTTGCCTGGCTGAGTCACTGCTTATATGTGTCTCTGTCTGGCCCTCTGTCTTTACTCTAGACCAGCACATGCAACCAGCTGCCTGGTGTCTCTGCTAGTTGGCCTGCACCTTCCCTCATGCTGATGTCTTTCTCCCATCTCAGTTGCTATTAGTTACAGCCTTGTTGTCAGGTCAAGAACCTTGGCAGTAAACATATGATATGTCAATTATATCTCAGGGAAAAAAAACAACAACAGAATTTGGTGTCACCACTGTCAACTTCTCTTTCGGACACCTATTCACATGATGGAAAAGGCCCTCTGTCTATATTTACATTATAACAACATTTTAAGGATGGCGGGTGTGTGGTGTGCTGTGCATTCCCTCAGCCTTTCTTTAGTTTGAGAAGGTTTGTTCATCGCACTGCTTCTCACTTTACTTATTAAACTTAACTTGTTTCAAGTCACCGTTTTCTCTTGTCTTCATTACTGTACTGGACTCTTCACTGGCTTTCCTGCTTTCTTCTTTGTCCTTTATCAGTCTGTTCTCAACAGAGCAGTCAAAGTGACTTGTTAAAACAGAACTCAGGTCAAGGAACTTCCCTGAGTTCAGCTTATGGGTGGTTTTCCACTTCACTAAGTAAAGGCTGACATCCATCCTGTGATTTGTGACATCCTGAGTGCTCTGGCTTCCTGTTTTCTCTGACTTCATCAATGACTCTCTCTCCTGTACACTTTTGTTCAGATGTGTTGGTCTTGTGTCAACACTCAGACTCACCTTGACTCTATTCAGTCAGAACATATTTCTTTAACATAAAAGATGTCAGTGAGCACTGAGTAGAGGAGGACTTGGTGGTATCTTTTGGGAGTACTATGTTAGACAAAGCCACAACTTCTTTATCTTATGAATTCTTACAGATTTTACTCAGGCAAATATGAGTGTTCAAGACCAAGTGGTGCTTAATGTGCAGGGAATTCCAGTAGAAGCACATTGGGGACTTATTTGGGGTATTTCATTCATTCATGCATTTGTTCATTCTCTCAGTAGTTTTTAACTCACCTCTCAGTTATACCAAATTATAGTAAGTTATTATACTTTTTTAATCCAAAGAGTTTATCATGAGAAAGAAGAATAGTTAATGATCACCTACAGCTCTCCATGACAACACCCAGGTAGGGCACCTGCCTGACTTTTCAGACCAACCTGGTCAGGTTTGTGGAGGAGATCACATCCAAGCTAATTAATCAGGATCAGCTAAGCATTGGTCAGTAGAAGATGCAGAGAAAAGGCTTCAGGGAGAAGCAAACTAAAGGACTTGCAGGGGACACAGAGTCAACCCAACGCTTTTGGGTCCTAGAAGTAGTTTAGAGTGGAAAGTAAGGATGAGCAGTGCTGCTGGAGACCACATTCAGCAGCCTCACCTGAATCACAGGGATCTGAGGCACATCTGGAGAATTCATGACCTTGAGGGCAGCAAGCTGTTGTTGACAGATTGCAAGCAGGGAAAGCCACTTTGTGAAAGATCACTACAGCTTCAGTATAGATCCGGGGTGCAGTGATCCTGAGGAGAATGTAGAAAAGTGAGTTACAGTTGTTAGAAAAATGTGCAAGGAGGTGTTTTGTCATTGGGAGTGTTTGGGAATGCTGACAGATGAATGCAGATTTGGAAAAGCCTGTGTATTAACAGAGAGAGAGGGACTGAAGATATGATTTTGGGAATTTTCAGCCTCCAAAAACTCCACATGATAGATGAAACCATTAGAAATCAAAACTCAGAGTCCCAGGTCAAGGGTAAGAAGACCAAAAACCTATTCTGGAAAATGTCGGTATTTGATGGATGACAGAAGAGAATGAGCTGGTGAAGGACACTTAGGAGATAAGTCAGAGAGAGGAGCAAAGGCAGAGCTTCGGAATATTACATAACTCAAGGGAGGGGGAATAAGGCCATCAATACTGTGGAAGGCCAGGGCAGATGAAGACCAGATGCTGTTTTTGATAGTAATTCTGGTGGATTGAGGGACCAAGCCAGGTCATAGCAGACTGGGATGGAGACAGAAGTTTAGGCATTGATGGGGAGATAATCAACAGAGCTATCTTATTTTTTTTAACCTATCACAAATCGATGAAAACTAGAAAGCCAGACATTGATTACAAATCTATTAAAATTGCAAAGTGTATCTGTAAATGTGATAAGTAGTAGAGATGACTACAGTCCTCACCCTGTCTTCATGCCCTATGAAAATCTAAACATCTTGATTGATAAAATGCTCTCTCCTCTCTGGCCTAACACTGTAGATGTGCCAAGAGCTTCCCAGCACCCTGAAGGAGTACACTCAGGAGCCTTGCTCTGCTTCTCAGACGAGGATTGCGGGTAAGATGCCATTATTCCTTCACAAAAACATTTTTTAACATCGGATGGCTTTATCATTATGAGTAACTATCTGGGTAAATTTGAAAAATCACATATTTGAGGCATGATGGGGTTGTGATTTATTATTCCATTGTCAACTATTTGGAAAAAAAATTGTTTTGGACACGATGTGGTGTGTACCTGGCCTTCCTTTCCATGGTGGGTGAGATGTTCTGACTTTCTTGGGCCTGGGGTGGGAGCTGGCCCTCGCAGATTCTGCGGGATGGAAGGCAGGCCAGATGGGGAACTGAGGACTGGTGTTTTGGGAACAAACAGTTTGTCAGGAGGTGAGTTGGAGCCACTGTGTTAGCACACCCAGGGCTCGTGAGTCAGGTGCTGACCGTGACTGGGCAAAGGTTTAGCTATCCCTGGAGCCAGGTGTGATTCAGAAGGATTCAGAAGGATTCTCCATTCTAAGGAAGCTACTTACTGACACACAATGATCATTTAGATGTGGAGGAAGAAGAGTTTTCTCGGTGTTTACTTTCTTTGCCCTTCACCAAGTTAACTCTACCCCCGGCCTGTGGACTCTCTGAGTCCCCCTCCCCTCTTCTCTTCCAGTCACCCAGAGAAACCACACACGGATTAAGCCTGGCTGCCTGTTTTGTGGCACCACAGCCCCTGCTCCCTCTCCTCCTTCATTTCTCACCTCCCTCCTTCGCTCCCTTCTCCTGTTTTTCCTCTTCAGGATTGGAAAGAATGATGAGTGACAAGACATTTGTTTTCACTTGAGAGTGAAAACTTGCTTTTCTTATTTACTTGTATTGTCTAAGAAATACCTGGCTGGTTTTGTTAATTAATTTCCCAAACACTGGCACTTGCATTAGGGGAATGCTCCCTTGCCAATAGACGCTCAGTTCTCTCATCATGGGAGAAGACTTGGAGGAATGGGTTGTGTTACATTTTCACATATTACGGTGGGGAAGCAGGAGAAATCCAAATACATAGTGAAAAGTCTAAAAAATGGACACAAAACTATTCCTTCCAGTGGTTGGATGGTTCTCTCTCTCTCTCTTTTTTTTAATATTTATTTATTTATGCATACAAAACTGGGGTACAGGCCAGAGGTGCAGGGGCGGGGAGAAGATTCACCAGAGACAGAGTGGGGAGCAGAATAGGCAGATAGAGGAATTACACTGCTGAGGGGAGCTGCGGGGGTCAGGAGAGGTCTGTGGCACCATGTGGGTCATCTCTGGGGCAGGGATCGAACTCATGCTGAAGTGGCTTTGGCTTCTTGGTGCTGTGCTTTAACTCGCTGCGCCGGCAGGGAGGGCCGGGTGGTTCATTTTTGACAAGATATTCACCCTGAGATTGGTGTGAGCTTCAGTGTCCGTCTCCTCCTCCACAGTGTTTGTTTCTATTTTTGTAATTATATTAAATAAAATCAAAACATTTTAGACTAAACCATTCATTTAGCACCTTCACAGTGTTGTGTGCCTGCCACCTTCATTTAACACCAGAACATTGCCAACGCTCCAAAGTTAAATCTCTGCCTCACGCAGCAGCTCCTCCCCAGCCCCCAGCTCCTGGCAACCGCGATGTCTCTGGTCTGCACGGATCGATCTGTTCGGGATGTTTCCCAGAAATGGACCCGTATGATGCTTCCTTCTCTTACTGTATTGCCTTTTAGGTGCATCCTTAGCAACTTGCTTAGAAAGTAAAACAGAAATTTAAAGAATTATGGAATAGTTTAAAATAGTGACTGCAAAACCATTGAGTAAAAATGAAAATATTTAAAACATATTATACAGAAACTATATTTTCCAAAGAAAAGTGGCTCTGTTTTACATTTAAAATAGTTAACTTTCTGGTAGTGGATGATGACTGGATTCTCACATCCACTGCTGCCTTCAGTGTGGGGACAGCACTCGTGTGAGGGGGGAACCAGTCCACCCTTGGGGAAGAATGAATGCACGAGGCAAATATTTTTTTTTTTAAAGATTTATTTATTTGCGCATACAGAACTGGGGTACAGGCCAGAGGCTCAGGGGCGGTGAGAGGCTTCACCAGAGACAGAATGGAGAGAAGAACAGGCAGATCAATGAAGTACACTGCTGAGGGGAGCAGCGGGTGGGTCAGGAGAGGTCTGCCATCCATGTGGTCACCTCCGGGGCAGGCGGGAATCGAACTCATGCGGAAGTGGCTTTAGCTTCTCAGTGCTGTGCTTTAACCCGCTGCGCCACCAGGGAGGGCCGAGGCAAATATTTTATGGGATAACAATGTAGGCCTCATGCCCCTTAGCGTGCACTCTAGCCCCAGGGCTCCCCAGACATGATTTTGCAAACCTGTGACTTTGGATGTGGACTAGTTCTTTTAATTTGTCGTCACACCCACATGTGGTTGAGCTTCTTACTGTGTGTTTATTGCCTTTCTTGTTTCCTCCTCCATGTATTGTCCATTGATATTTTTGGAGTTTAAAAATAATTTCTGTTACCAGTTCCTTCTCTGGAAAGTGCCTTGCAAATACCTCCCTTAGCCTACAACTTTAAAATATTTATGGTGTTATATTCAGATTTCTTAGATGATATTGAACTACTCATAGCTTTCATTTTCTTGTAGGACTTGGCTGAAGTTGTAAAGGTATTCTTTATTTTGTACTAGCAGTTTTAAATTGTTGGCTTTTATATTCAGGTCCTTAATGCAGTCAGAGTTAATTTGTCTAAGGAGCTCTGAGGTCATACATATCCCACCACCACCTGTACCAGCTCTTGATTATACTTTCCCCAGCATCTTGTATTCACCAGCACACTCCTGCCCTTTGACCTCGAAGGCAGTTTCAGCCAAGATTAGGTTTCTCTGACTGAGCATGTAGCTCTTCTCTTCCAGTGATTGGTTTGATGTCTGCTTCACCACAGGCTGAGTTAGTTGTGCCTTATTACCTAAGCAGTGAAATGAAATGTATGGTAGGGTATACAGTGCTCTACCCAAATTCATCTTTTGGCTGTTCTTGGCCATTTCTCTTTTACATTAGTTTTAAAGTCAGAAATTTGAATTTATAATTTTGTCCAGTTGCATGCATACCCATTGGGATTTTGTTAGCATTATGTCAAATTTACAGGTTAACTTTCTTTTTTGGAAATTGCAGTCCTTTGTCTAATACATTGCGTGGTAGAGTGGGTTTCACATAGATCTAATAATGAATTCAACCACCTCTTTTATCAAAGAAAAACAATAAACAACTTACCATCATTAAAAATGAGACACAGATGAAAAACAGGAAAAGAAAATGTCAAGTCTTTGTGGAAGACAACCTCTAACTTTAAAAATTAATCCTGGACCCTCTCTAGTGGTGTAGCGGGTTAAAGCACAGCACTAAGATGCTAAAGCCACTTCAGCACGAGTTCGATCCCAGCCCTGGAGGTGACCCACA